CCTTCCCTTAGACGCCTGCTAATTTGTTGATATCCCAAACACCTCATAATGATATGGTACAGTCGCAGCTTGCAAACAAGCATCCCGAGGCCAGGGGCTGCCAGCTGCCCTGCTCCAGGACCCTCCTCACAGGTTTGGCAGCCAGAGAGCAGAGCTGTGGGCCAGGGTCTCCCTGGATGTCAGACAGGACCTGCCCTGGTTCCTGCCGTGTGCCCCACATGCTGGAGGCATCCCCCCACCTCCTCCCTGTGTGACTACCCATTCCCCAGGGCCTCTGGAGGCAACTTCTACTATGCCAGCAAAAAGTGGGAGAAGGGATGGGAGTGGGAGAAGGTCAGCATGCGGGAGAGGCTGGATGTGACTGGGAGATGTTGAAGAGCAGAGGTGACAGAGGAGACTTCTGCTTCAAGAGTGGGGCTCAGTGCCAGCTCTGCTCCTGTTTTGCTGATGTTGAGTGGACTCCTGCTCCTCTCTGCCAGACCTGCTGGGATGCAGGGAAGGTGTCCTACACTATCCTGCACCCACTGCTCAGGAAGGAGCCAGCTGGGAAGCTGTCTGGCATGGTAGGCTCTCTGCCTGGTGTGCTGGCATGGAGATGCTCCTGCCACCCCCTGGGTGAACTCCTGCTCCCCATGGGGGAAGAAAGTGCTGTCCTGGGCCTTTGGGCTGGTGTGGGGGAGCCTGTCCAGTGCCCTGTGTAGAGAGGCAATTGCTGTGCCGTGTCCAAGTGCTGGGAACACGGTCCTGCTGCACTTGGTGGGGGGCAGAGGGCCATTGTTCTTTCCTCTGTTCTCACAGAGCTGCTTTGTATCCTGATGCTTCTGAAAGAGGGGAGCAGCCCTCCATATTGCTGCTTGTGCTCTGAGAGTGCTGCCCCAACCTGTGTGGGGACACCTTGGGTAGGGCTGTGGCATGGGGTCAGTCCTTGATTGTCCCACTGCAGCTCCGCGGGGAACCTGCTGCACCCCATGGAGAAGCAGGGTGTCCATGGGAAAGGAGGAGGGTAGTGCTGCTCCCGTGGCTCCACGTCAGGGTCCCCACAGGAGGGTGTCTGGGATGGGCACCAATGCAGGGTGTAACCAGAGCCCTTTGCAGAGCAGGACCAAGTTCTGCCCCAGCCCTTTGTTAAAGCTGAAGTGTTTTTAGCTGCCTGGTGTACCCCTTCTGCTCAGAGCTTTACTTTCCCCCACTCAGAGCATAGAGCGGGGACTTGGCACGAGCTGTGAGGACAGCACTCTGTGTCACTGCTGCTCCCCTTCCTTTTCCTCTCTGGCATCCCACAGGTGTCAGTGGGGCACGCTGTTCCACTGTGCACCTCGCCCCAGAGCTGCCTTGAGCAGCACGTGCGAGCTCCCTTGCATCCTGGAGGGCACTTCCTTACCCTCCTGCTGTCCCTTTGGTCTGGCTCCCGGCCGGGCACACAGGGTGTCTCTATTCCCTCATTCATGGCAGCCCCGTGGTGCTCTTCTGCTGTCCAGGGGATGCTTCCCCCCGAGGCTGACGTGTTGGCAGAGGGGAGGTGACTGTCCTGGGGCTGCTCCTCTCCCTGCGGTCCCTGCCTGTCCCCTGGGCTGCCGGTGGGGTCTGGCTGCCGTGTGGCCCTGCTGTCCCAGCCGTGCCCTCCCTCATCCTGCTCCTCTTCAGAGCCCTTGTTCCTGCCCGGTGTTGGAAGGGGGGTCGTGGGGTTAACACCCATTAGCAGAGCTAGCTCACACCAAACTCTGCTCAGCAACTCTTCACGGAGCTCAGTCTTTAAAACATCATCAAAAAATCATCAGGAGAGAGAGAGGCAGCGCGTTCATTTCCACTGCCCACTAATTCTAATGTAGCTGGTGTAATGGGCTCCCACCAGCGCACTGGGGCAGCCGCAGGGCTGGGGGGCCGGGCTCTGCCATCTGGACCCGGATAGCTGCTCACTCGGAGGCAGCTGGGAAGGGCTCCCCACTCCTGTAGGAGCGGCTTCCTCTGAGGTCTGAGCCCTGTCAAATTAGAGCTGGCAAGCTCTGGGACTTCTCTGGCCTCTGAGAAGGAGCCTGTGCCCATGTGTGGAGCCGGGAGAGGGAGTTCTGCCAGCTCTGCCTCAGCAGAGGTAGTCTGGACCCTTCTGCTTATGTCATCTGCTTGGTGCTACCCCTTCATCCAGCCAGAAATGGCCCTGCCACATTGGAAATCTGTACCTCTCCCCAGAAGAAGCTGAATGTAGTACTTCCAGTATGTCCCCTAAAAAAACAGCTTGAGTCTGATCCAACTTGTATGGGTGCCCTGAGGAGCTCAGGAACTGGTCCTAGACCATCCCAGAAGGTGGGTCTGCGCAGTGCTCAAAGCTGCTGCAAATCCTTGATTCCCTTCCCAGCTTTGCTGGTCCTCAGATGTGAACCCAGGGGTGTGATCCCACAGTGCCACGCTCTTCTGTCGTAGTCATGCTATGCCAAGGCCTCCAGAGATCCAGCCCCACAGTGCCATCCTGCACTATGAGGTGGGGAATTTGTCTTAGCACAGCAGAAAAGCTGTGGTCCTTTGATAGATCTTTCCGAGCTCCGAGAGCAACAGGGCCTTTGTTTGGCATGAAGCTGTAATCCAGAAGGCACAAAGAAAGAAGGGAATGGAGGTCCTGTGTCTTGCAGAGCTGGCACCAGGGCTTTGGTTGGACTGGGACTGCTCCCACGGCTCGGACTGAGCAGCCCTAGAGCTCTGGGATGTTCCTCAGCTGTGATAGTAGGGAAGTATGTCTGAGTCAGGTTGGAGCCCCAGAAATTTCTCTCCCAGAAGGAGGGAACCTCCTGCCCTGCTGTGAATGTCCTGAGCAGAGTGCTGGGAGCCCTGAGAGATGGAGTGCCCTGCCTCAGCACGGTGCCTCAAGGAGCAGCAGTGACCCCCACACCCGAGCTCTGGGTAGGCAGAGCAGGCATTTTCTTCCCTGGGAAGTGTACAGGTGCAGGAAGGCTGAGACTGGGATTCCTGCCTGCCTGCTTGGTGGGAAGGTGCTGGGCAAACAGGAAACAGGAACAAGGAGGATGGAGCCATGTGAGCCCACAGCAGGAATCCTCACTGTGTCCTGTTGGCCATGGTGTGCTTTCCGAGTCCAGGCAGCTGGCTTGGGTTGTGCAACACAGTGGCAGCAGCCACAGGTGGCTCAGACCAAGGCAGGATGAGATTTGATGAGAACAGGGCTTGTTCTGATGTGTCAGTGTTCCTCAAGAGCGCTGTCTGCAAATGCTCCCTGCAGCACCTGGGCAGCCTCTGCCCCAGGGGGCTGCTGCTCATTCCTTCCTGGCTGGTAGTGCTTGGCCCTAGGCAGCCACCAGTCCTGTGGCTGCGGGGAGGTGGTCCTGGCTCCCTGGCAGTCTGGAGGCTCCCTGCCCATGCCAGGCTCTGGCAGCACTCACAGAGGCTGGTGCCAGCAAGCAAAGGAGGCAATGCCTGTTGGCTGGCTGTCGGCTGTTTATTCCTCTCCCAGTATTCACAAGCTAGCAGCTGTATATTTTCCAAGAATCTTGTTTTTGAGCTGGGACTTGGTGTCTGTGGGTTCTCTCCTGTGGCTGAGAGCTGGAGGAAAGTGCTGGACAAGTGGAATATCCCAGTTATGCCTGTACATCACAGAGAAAGGAGAGTCCAGCAGGAGAGAGGCAGTTGCAGACATCTTTCCCCAGAGGAGGGGTCCCAGGCTGATTTAGGGTGAGTAAATGAGTAAAATCCTATCTGGAAAGGGCAAGCCAGGACAAGCCCTCGTGCCGGAGTAATTCCATCCTCCCCAGGCTCTGACGGTGTGGAAACCCAGCCTTGTGCTCCCACAGCAGTTCAGGAGCACTGGTGATCTCCAGGCCTGGCACTTGTCAGTGCAGGTGCTGAGCACAAGCCTGGGAGGAAGGGCTGTGCAGTCCCATCATGCCCTACAGACCTGGCTTTCTAAGACCTCCCAAGGCTGCACCGTGTTCTGGGGATGTTCATGGACGCAGCCTGGCTCAGATGGGCCAGGTGGCCCCACAGCAGCTGAGGGTGGCCGTGCCCTTGGGGGCCTCTGCAGCCGTTCACTGTGGGCTGCAGCAGCTCCTCGGTGCCTGCCTTTCTGCTGCTGCCTTCTGCAGTGAGGGGCTTCTGTGCTGCAGAGAAGTCAGGGAGAGAAGGGGACTCCCCTCAAAGCCCTCCAGACTCCCCTGCTCACCTCCCCACGTCATGCCTGGCCCCACCAGGCTCGAGGCCAGCACAGCTCTGCCTTGATGTGGACCAGAGGCCCCTCGGCCTCCGTGCTGTCTCTGGAGCTGAGCAGTTGACTCCCTGCTTTTAATAGAGAGCTGGGAAGGCACATTATGGAGATGAGGGTGTTATTTGCATAACGCTAATTAGGTAATTACAAATCATTTTGCTATGAGCTGAAGCGTGTGCTGTGACATAACGTTTATTAGTCATTCCATTCAGGCCCCGCTTAGTTAAGTCATTTACTGCACTAACTACTGAAGTTGGCAATAAAAGGTAAATGCTGGTGCTGGGTGTGAGGCTGACACAACACCCCGTGAACTGTGCCCGTGGGGGGCCGTGTGAGGCAGAGCCATGCTGGCAGGTGTTAGCAGGGCAGAACACGTTTTAGGGTGAGGAGCTGTGCTGAGCCCCCGCACAGACCCCTCTTGCCTGGCTTGCTCCGTGTGCGGGGCCTGTTGCTCCAAAGCCGCTCGAGGGCGGGCACTGAGCACTGGTGCAGGGGCTGTCTGCAGGCTCTGGCTCAGTGGAGGAGCTGATTTCAGGGCTCCAGAGGTTGGCAGCTTTCTCTGAGGGTGGGACACAGGGCAGGGTGAGTGGGCACAAGCCAGTGGAGCTGTGTGGGGCAGAGGGAGGGAGGACTGGCGCCAAGCTCTGATTCTTCTCTGCAGGCATTTGCCTGTCCCAGCCTCCTGGGCTCTGCTGCTGCCTCAACCCTATGGGGATGGTGGTGGACTGCCAGGATCTGTCCCATGGCAGATGTCCTCCTTCCCAGCCCCGTGTTATGGCACACCTTTCTCTTCCAGAACCAGATGAGCCATTTGAGTTCATTATCGTGTCACTGACGGGCCAGACATGGCTCTTTGAAGCCTCAACATCAGAGGAGCGGGAGCTCTGGGTGCAGGCCATTGAGAGCCAGATCCTGGCCAGCCTGCAGGGATGTGAGAGCAGCAAAAACAAGGTAGGAGGCCTTGGCCAACTTCTGTTCTATCTTCTCTGGCATCTGCTTTGCCACGTTCCTCCATGTCACACACTTGCCTGTCTGTCCACACTGAATCCTGCTTTGATCCCTCTTCTCCCAGTGAGATTTCAGTCCCATCTCTGGGACTATGCAGTTTCCTCAGGTTTCTTCTCACCTCTTCCCTGCCTGGCCCTGGCCCCACAGAGTACTCTGCATCCCATGTGGGTGGATCCTACATGGTTCATTCCCTCCCTGGATATCTTTCTCCCCACTTTGGCCCACTGTCCCCTGCTCCTCTGGGACACACCTGGCCACTCCAGACCCTGTTGTCAGAGCCCACATGCTGGCTAGCCTCATGGAGCGGGTGTGGCACTCCAGGAGGGGTGCAGGATGGGGTAGGGTGGCTGGCCTGCAGTGAAGGGGGCTTTGTGGGGTTCTTTCCAGGCTCGGCTGGGCAGCCAGGGCGATGCACAGGCCATGCAGGCCGTCCGTACCGCACGTGGGAACAGCTTCTGCGTGGACTGCGATGCACCGAGTAAGAGATGCTACACTGGGCGGGGGGCTCACCCAGGAGGGGAGGGGGCTCCAGCCACCCCAGCACCCCCTCTCTCAGCCCAGAAAGACCTGCTCTGTGTGTCTGTCCTGTCCTCTCCTGTAGTGGAGCTGCTCCTCGGGGCTGGGGTACAGACCACACTGCCACACTGGCCTGTGACCACTCAGTGGCCAGCCTGAGGTCCTGGGCCCTCCATGTGCACCTCTCCCAGGGACATTGAACTGGGAAGGGCTCTGGTGGGCAGGTGCCTGCAAATATGAGTCTGAACCACAGGAGACGGGCTGGTGAGTCTTGGCAGGTTATTAACTCTCCCCCACTGATCCTGCTGCCCTCAGATCCGGACTGGGCCAGTCTGAACCTGGGTGCTCTCATGTGCATCGAGTGCTCTGGGATCCATCGCAACCTGGGCACCCACCTGTCCCGCGTGCGCTCCCTGGACCTGGATGACTGGCCTAGCGAGCTTCTTATGGTCATGACTGCCATCGGCAACGCACTTGCAAACGCTGTCTGGGAGGGAATGGTGGAGGGGTACCCCAAGCCCACGCCTGAGAGCAGTCGGTAAGGGAGGTGGTGAACACCAGGGATGCTTCTTGGGAACAATACCAGGAGGGCTGGGGGACACTACAGGGGTTGGGAACAGCCATTGAGGCAGGAAGGATTCCTCAGGATGCTCCAGCGTTGAGGGTCCTGCCTGCCTGCAAGGCTCTGGCCACTGTCTCCTGCCACCCTGGTGGGGCAGTGGGGCTCCATGGCAGCCACAGCCGTGCGGTGACTGAGAGCTGAGGCTGGCTGCACAGCCGAAGGGGTTAACAGAGATGGCTTGGCAGCGTTGTGCAGGTCTCCAGGGTCTGTCCCTTTCAGGCCCTTGTCTGTCCCTATCGGAGCCACTCCGCTGTCACTCATCCCAACAAGAGCCCATTCTGCGGCTTATCAGCGTTGGAGCGCGGGTCAGGGGTTGGTGGGAGTGAGCATGCTCTGCGCAGGGCATTGATGGCCACCCGCCAGATGCAGATGGATAGAATGGCAGCAGATAGCGGCGGCCGGCGCGCATCGATCCGCCGCCCCGGCGGGACGGACGCGGACACAGCCTTTGTCTGCAGCAGGCGAGACGGCGGCAGCGATAAGGTGCCTCCCGTGGCACTGGGCTGGCGTGTGCAGCACTAACCTTTTCCTGCCACTGGCCGTGGCACACACACAGGCACGGGGTAGGGACGGTCCCTGAACTGCCTCAGCACGGGCACACAGCACTGGGGGCGAGGGGCTCCAGCACGGAGGTGCGTAGAGATGGGTGTGGGGTCTGGGTGCAGGACGCTGCTGCTGCACAGGCACGGATGTAGGCACCCAGAGTCCATAGGGAGCTGTCAGGAGGTGCAGTGTGAGTCAAGCAGGTGCCAGGCAGGTGTCCAGAGTGGGGTGACGGAACCTCAGTGGCAGCTGTGGGCACAGGGGCACAGCAGGGGATATGCAGAATATACCTGGGTGTGACAGATGTCTACTGCTCACACGAGTATGGTCACATGGCAGAGCTGATACTCATGTCCTTTTGTGCATGGGGCCCAGGCAAATTGTCTCAACTGTGACAGTGACAATGTCCTGTCTGGCAGGGAGGAGAAGGAGCACTGGATCCGGGCTAAGTATGAGCAGAAGCTCTTTCTGGCCCCACTGCCCCAGTCTGACATCCCCCTGGGGCAGCAGCTGCTGCGGGCCGTGGTGGAGGATGACCTGCGCCTTGTGGTGACGCTTCTGGCCCATGGCACCAAGGAGGAAGTCAACGAGACCTACGGAGATGGAGACGGGCGCACAGCGCTGCATCTGTCTTGCGCAATGGCCAACGTGGTCTTCACACTGCTGCTCATCTGGGTAAGACTGAACCTGCAGCCTCCACCACAGCCCTTCTGGTGCTCTCCAGGTGCTTCCCTACCTCCCTGCTACCCTTTACATCATGCTTCCATGGGTTCCCCCACGTGCCCACAGGAACTGACCTGCCCACCCTCCCAGCACCCTCTCCCTNCCCTCTGCTCTGTGCCAGTCCCATGTCCCTGGGCACGCGGTTCCCAGCTACGCTGACCAGCTGCTTCTCTCCTGCGCAGTACGGAGTGGATGTGAAGAGCCGGGATGCTCGGGGCCTGACCCCACTGGCCTATGCCCGGCGAGCCGGCAGCCAGGAGTGCATCGACATCTTGCTGCAGCACGGCTGCCCCAGCGACAGCAGCGCCACGCTGACCCCCAGCCTGCCCCGCCGCAACGCCAATGCCAACAACAACGCCTGCGCCGCGGCGCCTCTTGAGTTCAGCACCAGCCCCAGCACAGTCTAGCCCTGCACGGACCCTCTGGTCGCCACAGCTGCCCTCTAGCCCTGCCGGGGACCAGGGCCACAGGAGTGGCTCTGAGAGCAGCACAGATGGGCCCCCATGGTGTTTGCCTGCACCAGAACCCCCGTTCCAGCCAGGAGGAGGCTGGGAGCCAGCATCCTGCTCCTCTGCGCTGGTTCCAGCCACCTCTCACAGACCCAATGCTGGCAGCTTGTGGAGGAGCTCCTGCAGAATCACTGGGGTGGCTCCAGTGCACCCCATTTACATGACCGGTACATGGATGGGGAGGCAGTTTCTCCTGCCACCCCCATTTGCAGATAAAGCAGGGGCTGGGGGCAGTTCAGGTGTGTAGCCCTCCCCTGCACAGCAGTACCAAGGAGGCTGACGGCTGCACTTGTGCCCTCAGACAGGTCTGTTTGGGCACTTTCCTCCTGCTCTCCCTCCATGCTGGCCTCTCCACACTCCCCATTGCAGTGATGAGGTGGGGGGCAGCAGGAGGTGTGTGTTTCTCCATTGCACCCCCATGCTCCTCTGCTTGAGGCCGGTGCAGGAGGAATGCACATGCCAATATTGCTCCCCGTGTGCTGATGCAAGGATGGCATCTCCCCAGCGCAGCCCCTGGACAAAGGCCTCCCCAGCCTCCCTGGTGACCCGGAGGGGGGAGGAGGATGGTCACCCTGGGATCCCCAGCTCTGTCTGTCTGTCTGTCTGTAGAGTCACTGTCCTTCCAGGTTAAAGCTCCAAGCCATACACAGTGTCTCCATCAGAGCCTCCCGCTGGCTCCCGCTGCTGCCCAGGTGGGGCTGGTCTCCAGCTGAGCAAGAGGAGGAGAGGAGCATCTCCCTTTGCATTAGGGTCAAGCCTCTAGCTGAATGCTGGAACCTCAAGGCTTTGGACACTGCTATGGAATGTCTCTGTCACTTGTGTATAAAATGTACATTGGAAATATTTATATGGACACTCTGTATATATGGTTTCTTTTCCATGAGTTGCCCTGTGTGTGTTATCTGCAGCCAAGGAGATAAAGGCCAATAAAGCAACCCACCTCCTGCCAGGCCAGAGTCTCAGTGTGCTGCCTTTGGGGCCTCCGATGCAGCCCTGGTTTGCAGCTGGGTCTGGTGACTCTCCTGCCAACACTGACAAACATTCAGCCTCTTCTCCTCCGGCTCGGGCTCTGGTAACAGCAGTCCTGTGCCAAACCAGGCCCTTGGGACACGACAGTGTGCTTAGGTGTGGAGGGGAGATGTGCCAACCCTGGGCGCTGAGGTACAATGCCAGAACATGGCCCCAGAGGCATGCACAGCTCTGGCAGGATGGAAGATGGGCACAGCAGAGGGTTGTGCTGGAGAGGGGACATGCAGGGCAGGAGTGCTGGGCCAGCTGGTCCTTGTGCACAGAATAGCAAGTGTGAAGCTGGGATGGGGGAAGGCAGAGATGGGCAGGGAGTGATGGGCTGCCACAGCGAGCCAGGAGTCTGCTGCGGATGCAGAAGACTGGGGATCGTCAAGTCCCAAGGCACAGGCAGAGACCCCTGAGCAGTGCAGGGAACTGTGTGTCTGCTCTGCCAGCCCTGACTTCACATGCTTCTCATGGCTGTGGGCAGAGCAGAGCCCCAGTGCTGACAGTTCTGGGCTGGCTGCACCCCAGGCCACAGCACAAACAGCAGTTCAGGGCTGCAGTGTCTCTGTGCTGGGGTCCAGGCTCTACTGGCCACAGGCCTTGGGCCCCAAGCCTGTGTGGCAGTGCTGAAAGAAAGGGAGATGCCAGGACACCCCCAGCTGCCTCAGGTATCCTCAGATGTCCCTGTCAAACCCCTGGTGCTTTCTCCTTGTGCCCCTCCCATGGCAGAGGGCTGCCTTGCTGGGGGCTGCAGATGGTGGCCCCAGCCCCTCCACTCCTTGATGTGTTCTGGCTGCGTGTGCCCATGTCATCACCCTCATCCTGGTCCTGGTCCCAGTTCCAGCCTGGCCCCTGCACCCTTGTCACCCCTCATTCCCACCCCCTCATGGTGCCCATGGGTGCCCCCACACCGGCCCTGGCCCCAGCCCAGTGCTGGGTTTGGTTAATTTCCTGGCGACTGCATTAACGGGAATGGAAGCCGAGGGACGGCAGCTCCTCTGGGGCCCATTAATCATCCCCCTCAGACAAGCTGCCTTGATTACAAGTGGCAAGAAATTCATTAGGGCTGCGGCTCTGACAACTTTTATCTGCGCGGCTGGATCTGACTCATTAGGCAGCCAAATTAAAGCCATGATGGGCCCTGATGAAATTCACTGCTTGTTTATCTTGTGCGATCTGATACATCTGCCCATACATCATCTCCCGCGCGGGATCCCGCCCTACCCAGCCCTGGCACCTCCCTTCCCATCCCAGCCCTGCCCCAGGCCCCCGGGTGCCCAGCCTGGACCCAGCTCTGACCCCAGGCCAGCCCTGGCCTGCCCCCACACTCTGCGGGGCTGGGGCTGCCAGTGATGACCACGCCACCAGGAGCCGCACAGGGATGGCTCTGGAATCAAAATACCCTGAATTGGAAGGGGCCCACAAAGATCACCAGTGTCCAAGGTCTGGGGCCACACAGCCCTGAGCAGCCCCCCACTGCAGTGCTCATGGGGGTGCAGCCCCCTCAGGGCACCCAGAGCCCTGGCCAGGTTCTGCTGGCAGAGGCACTGGTGTGGGCACAGCCCTGTGGGGGCAGGCAGGTGCCTTCCTGCTGCCCACAAATTGAAAACAGGTTCTGAGGATCCCAGTGATGCCCTTTTGCTGGCACCTGGGGGCAGAGAATGCCACCAGATCCCTGCAGGCTCTGACACCGTCCCAAGGAGCCAAATGTGCCCTGTCCTGTCTTGCCCCAGCCCAGCATTACTCCAGTGCTGGAGCACATCTGGGTGCCAAGGTGACCAGTGTGGCTTCAGGTGGCCCTGGGCCAGGACAGGCTGAATGAAGCAGGAGCTCCATGCCCATGTTCAGGAGCAGAGGTGTGTGCCTGTGTTCGGGGGCAGGAGCTGTGTCTGTGCTCAGGGGCAGGAACTGTGTGTGTTTAGGGGCACTGTGCTTGTTTTTCGGGGCACAGGTGTCTGTGTTCAGGCTGATGCCAGGGAAGGCACAGGCCATCCCTCTACTCTGCTGTATACAGAAGACTGTGCCAAGTCAGCAGCAGTGGGACTGTCCCTGTGTTCCGTGGCCCTGAGCAGCACCAGTGACCGCTGCAGATCCGTGCATGGCACAGATCTTGTGGCAGCACCATGAGGACCTTGCCCCAGGCAGCCAGCAGCACTCGCCATCGAGCTGAGGCTGGAGCCAGGGGAGGGAGGTGGGTGCCCCAGCACAGGAGACATGGGATGCAGCCTCGTGCAGTGAGTAAATCCACGGTCTGCAGCCTCAGGCTGGAAACCAGCCATAACACGGGTTTGCAGCACTTCCCAGAGAGCTTGAGCACAGCCAGAAAAAGCCCCAGAGAGTACAACTTACAATCGAAGCACTATGGACCTTCCTGCAGCCCCAGCTGAGCAGGCACAGCCTCCTGGGGATCTGTAGGGCACGGGGCAGCACCACCCACCCTGAGGCTGCTGGAATCACATGCTGAGCACATGCAGAGGTGCTTTTAGGAGAGATGGCCAGAGCAGAGATCCTACCACAGGGCTGTGCCTTCGTGTATCCAGTCAGCCTTGCCTCTGGGGAAAAAGGCACAGGTGTGACAGTGTCCCAGCTCCCTTGGCCTGTGTTCACTAAGGTACAGCACCAACACACTCACTACAACACCTGCACCCTGTGCCCAGTCTCGGCTATCAGGCCTGCAGGCAACCACAGCACAGGCAGTCACAAAGCCCAGAGAGGAGTTCCACCCTGGCTGATGGGGACACTGGACAAGCTGGCACAGGCTGCAGAGGAGTTGGGCAGTGGTCAGAGGGAGCTCACGACCCTTCCCAGATTCCAACTGTTGGGACATTTTTTCTCTCTTGCCCATTGTTTCTCTCCTGCACCTGAGCTAGTCCTGGAGCCGCTGGCTAATGAACAGCACCAGCACCTTACTGTGGGCCATCGCATCTTCATACCAGCCCCTTGTCAGGGAATGCTGAGGACCAGCTTTATTGTGCTGAGTGAATAAATGCTCTGTGGGATGCAATCTCTGCTCCTTTCCCAGTTCTTTAAGAACCACCATACAGGTAAACAAGTGGACAGGTTTGAGTAGGGAGAATTCACTTGTAAGTGTTGAACTTGTTCATATGAATGTGTGGATATATATATATGTGTGTATAAATATATTTATATAAACAAGCGCATGCCCATGTATTTGCACACTCTTTGTATTTATTTCTGTGTGTTTCTATACCTGTGTCTACCTTTTACTCTGTGTGCACGTGTGTGTGTGTGTGTGTGAATCCATGCACATATATGTGTACCAGTGCGTGTGTGGGGATTCCGGGACACAGGAACAGACAGAAGCTGGTGGATGGAAAATTCCAGATAGATGCAAGTGAAAAAGCATACTAGGAAAGTGGTTGGACACTGGTACAGGGCTTGAAGAGGTGGGGTTGCCCACCCTTGGAGATACTGGAAGTCAGATGGGCAAGTTCTTCAGCATCTTGAATGGGACAAGTTTCTAGCAGGTGTTGGAGCAGAGACATCCCAAGGCCCCGTCCAGCTTCATGGCACAACTGCCCTGGGTCTGTCTTTACTGCCCAGTTTTTCATTGTGGCCCTCCTTCTCCCAGCCAGCCCCAGTCTGACCCAGCACCCAGAGGTGGTCCCGGGGGCTCCCACAGCTCTCCCATCTGAGGAGTGGCCAGAGCTGCTTCCCCACTGCAGTGCAGGCAGTGCCATGCACCGTGCTCACTGCAGTGTGGGGCAGTGCTGTGCTCACTGCAGTGTGGGGCAGTGCTGTGCTCACTGCACAGTGTGGGCAGTGCTGTGCTCACTGCAGTGTGGGCAGTGCTGTGCTCACTGCACAGTATGGGGCAGTGCTGTGCTCACTGCACAGTGTGGGCAGTGCTGTGCTCACTGCACACTGTGGGCAGTGCTGTGCTCACTGCACACTGTGGGCAGTGCTGTGCTCGCTGCACAGTGTGGGCAGTGCTGTGCTCACTGCAGTGTGGGCAGTGCTGTGCTCACTGCACACTGTGGGCAGTGCTGTGCTCACTGCACACTGTGGGCAGTGCTGTGCTCACTGCACAGTGTGGGCAGTGCTGTGCTCACTGCAGTGTGGGCAGTGCTGTGCTCACTGCACAGTGTGGGCAGTGCTGTGCTCACTGCACAGTGTGGGCAGTGCTGTGCTCACTGCAGTGTGGGCAGTGCTGTGCTCACTGCAGTGTGGGCAGTGCTGTGCTCACTGCAGTGTGGGGCAGTGCTGTGCTCACTGCACAGTGTGGGCAGTGCTGTGCTCACTGCAGTGTGGGCAGTGCTGTGCTCACTGCACAGTGTGGGCAGCGCTGTGCAATGCCACAGCTTTGCTCACAGCTGTGCAGGAGGCACCAGAGCCATCACAATGCTCAGGGTTCACAGGGAGCTCTGCTCTGCTCGGTGCCAGGAACACTCTGCTGCTCTGCAGCTCTCTCCAGCAGCGCTGGTGACAGCATGTGTCTGTCACCTCCAGCAGCACTACACAGAGCTGCACCTCTGCAGCATTTGTGGGGATTTTAACATGGCTGTTTGTAGGGTTGCAGTGTGTATGGGCTGTGGGATTGGTCTAATACTACAGCAATAACAACTAAAAAATCTTCCATGCAGCTAAAAACTGGAGGTGTTGGAACCACCTCAGCAGCAGTCCACGGATGAGCATGCAGTGGAGCGGGAGTGCTCTGCACACAGATTTTGGGTGGGCAGTGGCCTCTGCGTGTGGGGAGGTCAGTTAAAGACACAACAAACCACTGCTGCCACTGGGCAGGATGTATCAGGCCAGTGTCAGTTAGAAATGCCCACTGGGAATAAGGGAGTTCTTGGACCTTAAAATTTGACTCCTTCTAATGTCACTGCCCCTGGAGCTGTGGACACTTTCTGGAGTTCCGTGGTTAACGTGCACTGCTGTGCTGTGATCAGCTGCAGTGGCACAGACCCCTCATG